GAAAAAAAAACTTTTTCATATTAAATTTATTTGAAAATTAATAAAAAAAATTCTTCAATCAAAATTCAATAAAGCGTTCTTTGTCATTTGATTATGGCTATTCAATCAACAAACAACAACAATAATAAATAATATCTCTATATTCAAAAGAAAAGATTTCATTTTTTTTTTGTTTTTCAAAAAATGTTTTTTTATTCTTTTGTTTTGTTTTATTTGTTTGTATAAAAATTCATAGTTCGTTATTACAAAATTTTTTGTTTTCGAACTATATATATATCTTCAAAATAATAATAATGACAACAACAACTGAAAGTTATCATACAACATATACAAATTCATTAATTGATAATTCAAATTCAACAATCAAAGATGAAGATCCATCATTAATTGTTGCTAATGTAACAATTGATGAATTAGTTGAATCATGTTGTAATGAAGTAGTATTACCTTCTTCTTCATCTAGTCAATTAAATAGCAGTAGTAGTGTTTCACCGACACATCTTGTTCGATTTGTTCATTCACAATCGTCACTTGTTAGTCAGATAGATGAAACAAATAATAATAATATTCAACAAAATCCATCAAATATAATTATATCTAGTCATGATATACCATCTATTAAACAAACACCATTTATTAATGTTGTTACACGTTTACCATCACCATTTTCAACAATTAAACCTAAAACAATTATTGAATCAACTAATTCAATGTATAATACAACAAATTTAACAAATATAACAGCAAATAATATAAGTGTTAATAATTATAATGTTAATATTCATACAACAAATGTTCAACAACAACAACAACAACAGACAATATTAAATAATAATAATAATAATAATAATAATAATGATCATAAAATAAAAAAATGTAATTCATTAGATGAAAAACAAACAACAGAAATTGTAACACAAATATTAAAAAATATTAAAGAAGTTGATAATAATAATGAACAAACAACAAATTATAATATACATATTGATTCATTTAATTTTTCATCAACAAATGAACAACAACAACAACAACAACAATCAATAATAAATAAAAAATCACGAATTAAAAAAGAAGCTAAAGCATTAACAAGAATTATTGTTAAAGATGATACAACACAACAACAACCAATGTCACCAAATTTTTTACGTAATAAAAAATCACTTAAAAATTCATCAAATCATCAATTTGATAATACACAAACATTATTTGATTCTATACCTGTACCATATGGTTGGCAAAGAAGAATATTAGCTACAGATATTGTTGTTTATCTAAGGTAGAAAATTTGTTTTAATGATGAGAGAACATTTGAGAATGTAAATCTTTTAGTCCAACTAATATAATACTTGATTCATTGGATGCTGTACGTCATTATATTGAATCACCAACATCATGTAAATGTGGTCTTCAATGTCCGCTTATTATTGATAAGGTTTGTTTCAATACAAAAAAAAACCAATAATAAAATGTAAAAATTCATTCTATTTAAAGGTATTCAATTTTGATCCAACAAAAAAATCAAAATCTTGGGAAGTTATACAAGTTCTTGAAGGTACACATTGTCGACAAAAATCAAATATATTAGAAATGGCAACATTAACAAATTGTATTGATTCATTTTGTGAAACAGAACAAAAACCAGGTTTAATATTGAAATATATTATTTTTAATTATTATAATTTTTATTATAGTTAAACGTCGAAAACGAATACATAATGAATCAACAAATGGAAATGTATTTGTATGCTCATCAAATTTAATTGGAAATAGTAATAATGAATCAGTTGTTTTTGTTAATAATACTGATCAAATATCTGGTATATATTTATATTTCTATTCATTTGTTTGTTTTTTTGAATTTTGTTTTTTTTTTTAGAAGATGGTCAATCGATGACATGGACATCTGTACAACAACAACCAAATGTAACTCCTCCATCGAAACGACCACGTGGTCGTCCACGTAAAACTACAATTACATCACCAATAATAACACAACTTGCTGCTAAACCATCAAATGATATATATCAAACTCAACCTGTTCCATCATCAATACTTTCACCACCAGCATCAGTTTCATCAATATCACAAACAAATTTTGTTCATAGAAATTCAACATCACCATCAACATATCATCAAACAAATAATTTACGTCATATTAATGATAATATATTAACTCCACCAATTTTATCAACAACAACAACAGATACAAATGTTATTGCACGTGTTCCAACTTTATTTGATCAAGTTAAAACAACAACAAATGAATCAACATTTGCTGTATTATCAGGAGTACAAAATGTTTTATTATCACCAAATCGTGATTCAAATAATAATGATAAACGTTCACATATTGAATCGAATTCAACAGGCAAACAGGTATAACAAAATGATTTATTAAGTTTGAAGACTAAAAAAAAAAAATTTTTTTTCTTTAGGTTACATTAAATGTTAATGCTTTAAAACCAGATTTTGTTCGTTCAACATCTACTACTACTACTACTACGCATAAATCATGTTTATCATCAAATCAAATTGATGTTATTTCATTAATGGGTACAACAAATCAAAATCAATTAACATTACCAAAAACTTCAACTGTTGTTACTGTACCATCAACAACTCATGATGAATATTTATCAATAAAATCAAATAATGAACAAATCAATGAATTATCATCATCATCATCATCATCACAACCATTAATGATTGATTTTAATGATCCATCAACAACAAATTTTCTATTATCAGCTCTTGCATCAGGTGCTTCATCAGATTCAAATGCAATTGTTAATCATCTTTTTCAAAAAGCACAAACACAACAACAACAACAATCAACAATATCAATTAAAAAAAATTTACCAATTATTTCATCAGGATTAAAAAATTGTACAGAAACAACAAATTTATTACCATCAATGCGTCAATCAGTTGTACTTCATGTACCATCAACAAATGATTATAATCAACAAACACAATCACAACAAATTATTTTTAATAATAATAATAATAATAATAATGATGATAAAAAACAACATCAACAAATATTTTTTATTAATAATAAACCATATATTATTCAACAAAAAATAACTCATGAACAATCTGCACAACAACGTTTAATTCTTACACCATCAATTTCTCAATCGAATGGTTTGTTTAAAATCTATTTTTTACTTGCTCTATTTCGAATCAATGAAATTTACTTCCCGAAATGTGATTCACCAATCGAATTGTTCATATTTTGCGCTTCAGCGAGGCTTGTAGAAGCCTATAAGTGTTCATCTGTATGCACTGTTCTTCTCTAAGCTATTACAATTTTTGTCAGAGATAAAAATTCAGTAGAATTGGAATAACTTGGGAAGGACAGTGCATGAGAACGAACCTTTAAAGCCTTCTACTAGTCTCGTCGAGGCTACTTATGGACAAAATATCAGTTCAATGGGTGAATCACAGTTGAGAGACTTTTCTTTGTTAGAATCAGAATGAAATAATAACTTTGTTCAAAACCAATCTCTTATAAATTATTAGCACGTCATTTTTTTTTTGTTTGATACAGTTTATTATTACATAGCTTAAAATGATGATTGAAATTGATCATTATTTCGATGAATACATCCGAAGATAAAATATAATGAACTTAAAGTAGAGATCGTCTGATGTTTTTCATTATTCTTATTATAAAATTTAGAACCGTTGTCCGAATTATTTTCATTTAATAGAAATTTATTTAATTATTTACTCATATTTTCTACATCCATATTACTATCATCAACTTTATCTACATTTTCTATATTATCTATCAATGTCCAACTTAGATCAGGTCACAAAAAAAAAATAGTTGACCTTGGATCAGGTCATGATATAGTCGAGTCGGGTCAGGTCATGCAAAAAAATTAATTGACCTCGAGTCAGGTTCGACTGTACTCGGATACTACACTATCTACTAATCGTTCTAATAAATACTTTTCTAATTGTATCCATAGCATTTATTTTCAATATTATTACAATTTATTTAATATTCTCATTTAGAAACGTCTCATTCAAATCGAAATATTGTAACTAATAATAATAGTAATACATGTATTCAATCAACACTTGATGATGGTGGCAATTGTCTTTTATTAAATGGACCTGTTGAACCTAAAACACTTCGTACATTACTTAAAGGTTTAAATTCTTCATCATTTTCAGGTGTTGATAATTTAATTGATACAATAAATCGTTTTGAACATACAACACCATCTATAGTTGAACAAAATGATAATCTTTTAATAAAATCAATTCGTACAACAACAAAAAAACCATCAACAAGACGTCGTACAGTAAAAAAAATTAAACAAGATGAAATACAACAACAACAACAGCCACAACACCACCAACAACAAATTCAAATATCAATGCCTCAACCAATTATTGTTGAACAACCACATCAATGGCAAACAGATTTTAATACATTTGATTTTTCAACATCATGGGGAAGTGATACAAATCTTAATTCACTTCTACTTAATGATGATTTTGATACAGCCGCTTCATTTGATGATGTTAACTTTGGTGATTTTGAACCGTATATGAATAACAATAATAATAATAATAATGATATAACATTACCATCATTATTTGTTAAACCATTACCACCTGATAGTTTACCAAATGTTGACCATTTATTACCTTAGAAAACAAAAATTTTCATTTATTTTTCTTTTTTTTTGCATATTGTGATATTATTATCTAAACACACACACACACACATACTTCTGTCATCTCTCAGGATGCTTGAGTTTATATGTATATAAATATTTGTTTGTTTTTTCTTTTGCTGTAGTTATGTAGCTCAAAAAAAAATTTCTTGTTGATCTGAAAGTGTGTATGGAATTCGATGCTTTTCGTTTTTTTGTTCTTGCCTCTAGTCTCTCTCTCTCTCGCGCGCGCGCTTTATTTATATATTTTGTTGTTGTTGTTTGTACAGTGTTTTTGGCCTTTTCTTTTTTTTTCTTTGCAATATCATGCACATCGAAAACAAAAAATATATATATATGTTTGTGCCTTGTCTCCACTGGAATGATATTTTGTGTATCGAAAAATATTTGTATAATGCTCATTTATTAATTGTTTTGTGTGCCGTGTTGTTAAAATATGTTTTTTTTTTTGTGTTTTTTTCCTCTTTCAATATGCGATGATCTGTTTTGTTTTCTATTTACACAGACAAATGATTGACTCATTTTTGAATTATGTGTATTTCAATTTAAAAAGAATAATGGACTTTTTTGTTTTTTCAAATTTTTCTCTTTTTGTTTTCGAGATGTTCTTGATTAGGTTTTGTTTTTTGTTTTTGTTTTTTGCTTTTCTACAGTCGTTTTGAATTAGAATACGACATATAAGAAAAAAAAATTTATTGTTTTCTTTTTTTTTTTAAACAGAAAGAAAAAAGTTATTATTGTTGTTGTTTGTTTGTTTGTTTGTTTGTTTGTTTATAGTTGAGAATTTTTTTTTCGAAGTGATTTTTGTAAGATATGCGTGGAGAAAGAAGATTTTATCTTGATTTATTTCTTGCATTTTTATTTTATTGTTTATAATTCTAGATGGGTAACGGAATAACAGTTAATAAAAAACAATTACCCGGTGTACCACAACCACCAGGTGCACGTAAAATAGTTGTTATTCCTTATCAAAATTGGATTTATTATGATGCACGTCGTTTTGGTCATTTTAATCAATTTAGTACCGATAATAGTTGTGAAATATCTTTAAATAATAATAATAATAATAATAATAATAATACTATATCATCTGGTCTCCCATCACTTTCACCAAATTCATTTTCATCTCCTTCATCATTTGTATCAACATCATTATCATTAACAAATGATTTTATTATTCAAACTAAAACACAATTAGCATCAACATCTGTTCCATCATCATTAACATTTTCAACTAATAAATCAAATATTCGTTATAATAGTAATAATATTAATACTAATACTAATACTAATACTAATAATTATTATTCATCAACATCTACATTTGCTGGTTCAACAATGACTTTATCAAATTCATCATCAACAGTAACATGTTCATCAATACTACCATCAAATGATCATGATTCACGTCGTTTACATCCAAAACCAATATATTATGTTAATGGAAGATTTTTTAAAAGTTTAACACGTCTTGGTGATGCACAATTTATATTAAGTGAACATGGTGAAGATGATATTATATTAACAGTACCATCAAATATTGAACGTTATCGTACAAATGATAATACTGTACGTGATCGTATACATCGTTTAAATCGTGTTATTGCATGTTGTGATGAATTTATTGTCTTTCAATTATGGAAAGGAAATAATGAAGTTGAAGTATTTCTATTTGATCGACCTATACCAACTGAATCATTAAAAATAAAATCATCAACTAAATGTACATGTTTTCATCGACAATCTAAAACAACATTAATTCAACAAGAACAAACATCAAATACAAATTTATTACCACAATCATCATCAACATCAATTAATGAATCAACAATACGTATTAATCGACATAGTTCATTAATGCAAACAGCAACATTAAGTGCTTATCATACTGGTGAACCACAACGTTCACCAATTAAATCATGTTCATTATTAAATAATACAGAAAATCGTTTAGATATGCAAAATGATGCATATGAATTTGTTGATAATACAAAAAAAGCTTCATATTTAATTGGTTCAGCACGATGTACATTGGTAACTGCTTCAGCTGCTATTATTGCTAATAATCCTAATGCTAATAATAACAATATAACAATAACATCGACTACGTCGAGAGCCCGATTTGGGAAATCGGCGAGTCGGTTAGTAATTTTTCTTGATTTTTGCTTTGATTTGATTTTTATTGAACAAACATATTCTATGAATATTCTAATTAAATAATATTATTCTATCGATGTTAGTTGTTAAAGAAAACTATTCAATTAATAAAGAAACTACACAAAATGTAACTTTCATTTTGAGTCTACAAAGAAGTCTCGATAAGACTAGAAAAATTTTAAACGAGTTCGTACTCATGGGTTGAAACCTTTTTAAGCCTTTTCTAGTCTTGTCGGGGCTTCCTTATAGGCTCAAAAAAAAGTGAGTTACAGTTCGGGTAGTTCTCTTATGAGTAAATATTTAGTAAAATGTCAAACTGAATTTAAACAGAGGATCTTACCAGATGTAAAATTGTTTTTCAACCGAGGCAATGTTCATTTGATGAGTAATACAAAAGTTTAGAATGGTTTGGTTTTCCGAGCCGTCGCTCTTGAGATATCGAAATTTTACTGTTTTTTTTTTAACGAAAAGCTATAGTCATATGAAAAATCGATTTCAAACTTTGCATGAATAAAGTTTTTAATGAGATTAGTTGATTGTACAAATTTTAGCTTTTCTATTATTCTCTTTCTGAAGATGAACAAAGTTTGTTTATGCACATAATACAATATCGAATATCTCAGGATAGGAGATACTCGAAAAGTTACAACTTTCTCTATAAATTAATCTCATTAAGAACTTTGTTCGTGTGAAGTTTGAAGTCAATTTTCCACGTTTTTTTTCTGGTTTGAAAAATCAAGTAAAATTTCAAAATCTTAAGAACAAAAGTCCGCATAACCAATCCATTCTAGACTTTTCTATTACTCATCAAATAAACATTGTCTTGATTGAAAAGAGATTTTACATTCAAAGAAACTTCCTCGTAAGCTATTGATTTCGCTTTTACTTTAATTTATTGTATTGTGTACTACAGCATGCAAGACAATAGAATGACTAACTTTTTTCTTAAAAATGCTATGCTAACAAAATATTCTTTTTCTTTTGTTTATAAACAAAAACAAAAACAAAATGAAAATAAAAATTCTAATAATTTATTTAGTTCAACTATGGTCAATACACGTTCATATTCAATATCAAATGCTAATGATTTAATAAATAATAAAAATCAACAAAATCATTTAAATAATAATTCAAAACATCGTTCAACCCCATATTTATCATCATCATGTTGTTGTATGGATAGTAGAGATTCTGTTTTATTACCAGCATCATCTTCACCAACATTTTCTTTATCATTATCATCATCAACATGGAATAGTCGTATTGTTCGAAAACTTAATTCTGTTGCACATCGTTTTAATGCACGATCATATACTTGTTTAATATCACCTGATCGAACAAAATTATTAATAACACCTGATTATGAAGATAAACATTCATATAGTCATCAAATACATGAAGTAACTGTTATATTTGATATAAAAACTTATGTAATATTACGTATAACACCAGCTCGTAAGTTTTTCTTTTTCTTTGAAGAGAAATCAAAAAAGAAAAATTAAATTTTTTTTGTATATTATTTTAATTTAAGGTTATGATCAACGATTTTCATTTGATCCACGTTATGGTCATTCACGTTTAGCAGAATTTGATACAGTTCGTGGTCAAATAACTGATATAAAAAAAGATCGTGTGCTTGTTTGTTCAAATCATACATTGAAAACAAAAGTTTATCGAGTTGAATATACAAATGATGGACATCTTATTATTGTTTTATGCACACGTAAGAAAATATTTGAATTTATTCAATAGAGACTTATTATTACACAAATATATTATTTAGATTTCTAACAAAATTTGAGTAGATAATAACTCATTGAAAGAAATTTATTTACAGAGATTTGGTTTAAAATATTTTTTAGCTCAGTACTTAATGTAATGAATACATTAGGAAGGTACGAATCCTTCCAGATTCGGGTCCGGGTCTATAATTTTATTTTTTATCGGGTCTAGGTCTCACCTTTTATTTTTTGTTTTTTTTGTTGGATTTGGCTTCACAAAAATGTAGACCCGCAGCTCTCTAGAATACATCCTATTTCATATCTATATTAAAATAAATTTTAATTTTAGTTCCAATATTTCAACGTGTAAAACGAAATTATTTTCTTTATATATTAAATTCATCTACATTATTACATACACGTAGTATAATAGATTATCGTGGTCCATTTTTTTCACCATTTGTATTTACAAATGAATTTTCACTTTTATTTAATATTTATCCATCATTATCAAATTGTTGTTCAACATTAGCTATTTTAAAAAATATTGAACCATCATCAAATGTACGTCTTATTGAAGTTTATTCATTACCATATACATGTACAACATTAAAAGCTATAATACGACGAAATATTTTACGTTATGTTGATAGAAAACAACTTAAACAATTATGTTTACCAGACAATTTAAAAGCTTATTTAGCTTATAAACCACAATTTGTTTAAATATATATATATATATATATATATATATGATTTGCTTTTTTGTCAATATCAGTTCTATAAATATGTCACTTTCTTTTCGCTTGCAATTTATTTTTATTTGTCTCTTCTTGTAGTTATTTTGCCTTTGTTTTTATATCAATTTTTTTTTCCTTGTCATGAGCGAATGCTTTTTTTCTTTCTTTCTTGCATGATACATTAAATAAATCAATAAAATTCATTGTAAAGAAAAATAATTAAATATATATATATATATTATATTGAGAGATTAAAGAGAAACAATGTTTGTAGAATAATGTCAATGTCAACAGCACTTGAAGATTATCATAAACAATTAATACAATATTTTCTACGTGATGGTGCTTATAATGAAAAAGAAATGATTGATCTTTTAAATGCTTTACGTGATCGATATAAATTAAAAATAACAATTAAAGATGAAATTCGTACATTTACAAATGTTTTTTTACCATTAATTAATAAACATATTAATCAATATGGTATTGAAATAAAACAAGTTACAAGTGAAGAATATGAAAATAATATTTATTTTGTATGTATACAAAATTTTAAACCACAATTTGTTAAAATGGATTGTTCATATACAGAAAAAGAAGCAGCAGTTTTTGAAAAATTATTAGAATTGGTTATAACTAATGATGATAAGTAAGTTAAAATTTCAGTCATATTTTGAAAACACTTCAAAGATTACTGAGAACTATCGATTTTTTTTTCAAAAAAAAAAAGCGGGAAATCTTTTTTATTTTTTTCCTATTTATATTTTTCGAATCGCTCATCCCAAAATTCTTGAAGGAGATTCATTGTAGCCGATCGCTTGACAGAGTGCGACTTTTGAATTCTTTTTATATAAGAAAGTGCTTCTATAAATAGATGACCATTTTTCGAGGTATCGAACTTTTTCAAATAAAAAAAAAGAAAATTAAATATATAGAATGAGGGCTCATAGAAAATTTCGCATTGCCAAATGAGATATTTTTGACTCTTGTTTGATGAGTATCTCTCGAAAACTACATGTTATAGGGTTGAAAATTTTAACATAGCCTCTTCATTATGACACTAATATGTTCTAAAAATGTCATACAATTTGAATGTACATGGCGCGCAAGAACTCTGCATCAGGCCGACTTTCTAATCAGAGTTACAACTAGCCATAGTTGTAGGGATTGAATCTGTGACTAGACAGCATCTCATACAGCAAGGACAAGGATATTCTTCCTTCTATTCTAACAATATTAGAAGATAACTATAGTCTTAATGGACGAATTTCCATTCTGAACCTGGCCTTTTGTTCTTAATCTCATCAACATCCTTGTCCTTATTCCTTCTATTTAGCATTTAAACATCGAGATTTATAAAAAAAAAAAAAAAAAAATTCGAAAAAATAAACCGTAGAAACTGAATTTGCTAGTATACAATATGAAGTACATAGCATATTAATGAACAATAATCTCGAGAAACTTTTTATTAAGAGATTGAAAGTTTGAAATCATACTTTGAGATCTTTCTCATAAATAAAAAAAACAAAATCTTTCATGATATTGTAACTTTTGTATCTATTTAGTTTTAATGATTTATTCCTTTTTTTTTTTGTTGGCATAGTCTAATTGATTAATCTTTTAAATTCTATCCTAGATGTGTAGCACCTCGTGAAGTATTCGAAGGAATTCTTGCTAATGATTTAAAAATGACACAAAAAGAATTCGGTGAAATAATGGCACGTTTTCATCGTGATAAATGGATTGAAAGTGGTCCAGATAATACTGTTATACTTCATGCTCGAGCTATATTAGAAATGCAATCATTTATTATGGACACATATCGTGATTTTATATACAATTGTCAAATATGTACACGTCTTTTAATTCGAGGATTAATTTGCTCAAATAGGTAAGTAATAATAAAAAAACATTTTCAAACTTTCCATACCTATGGTAACTAAGATCTGATGGGAAAGGGAGAAGACTTTTGTTCACTATTATAAATCAAAATTTTTTAGTTCATGTGATGTTCATATACATCGTTCATGTGCTGCTCGATATTTTCATCGATTATCAAATTCGACTAGTAATTCAACTACGAAAAAAACTGCTTATCCATGTCCAGTATGTAAACAAGAATGGAATAAAGATGATGTTGTTAGTATATTAAAAACAAATAATGTTCATGATGGAAATGATACTGAACGATCAACTGGAACAATTCATAAAAAACAACGAACATCAAAAACAAATGATCATAATAATGGTATAAATAATCGATCTATTCGTTCAACACATCGTCAAATTAGAAATGAAAGTGATGATGATGATGATGATGATAATTAAATAGACTAATCATATTCTTGTTGAATATCAGGTTTATATGTTATTATTTTTTGCTTATAAATATTAAATAGATAAAAATATAATTGAACATCGAAATTTTTTTGTTTTTCATTATAAATCTATCTTTATTTCATTCATTTAGAAATAATTATGCTAAAAACTATATCATTTGTTCGAGGTTTTCGTGTACCTACACAAAAAGATATTGATGAAGCACTTGGTAATGATGCTTCATTTTCGAATGAATTCAAAACATCATTTAATTCATTACCAAATCCAACAAATGATCTAGATTGGTTAGCAAATTATAAAGAAAAAGGTCAAACATATAGAAAATTTCTTGATGAAAGTCCATTTCTTGATGATAATTATTCATTAAAAAAATATATTTATTTAACATTACTTGATAATGATGATCTTTTATCATTATTAAATATTGATCATTTAATTAATTATACACAACGTTTTTTTCAAATGGAAGTTAAACTTCTTCCTTTATTTACAAATATTTATTGGAATAATACAAAAAAAAAATGGATATGTGAGTTTTTCATTTTGTCATATCATTATTTTAATATATTAATTTCTATCAGGCACAATGAAAGGTAGAAATGATTTAATAAAAGAGATAACTCTTCGTACACGTTATAATTCAACAACGGAACATTCACAAATTTATGTAGATAATATTCTTAATCTATTAAAACGTTCAGTTCCTAGTGATGCTCGTTGTCTTGTTGCTATAACATTACATGATTTATATTCAGATGAATCTGATTTATTTATTGCTGGTTTAGCTCATGGAAATTGTCATGTAGCAGCTTTTTCGTTTTTTCGTTATGATCCTCGTTTGAAATTTGGTGATGAATTTTGGTATGATTGGAAAATAAAAAAAACTCAATCAAAATTAATGTCAATAATTATATTACTTCGATCATGTCGTCTTCTTACACATGAAATAGGACATTTACTTGGTATTGGTCATTGTATTTATTATGGATGTTTAATGAATGGAAGTGGACATTTACAAGAAGATTTTTCTCAACCATTATTTTTATGTCCAATTGATTTAAGAAAATTATCTCAATTAGCAAATTTTGATTTTATTCAACGATATGAAAAATTATTAGATTTTTGTACAGAAAATCAATTCAATGATGAAACTGATATATTAAAAAAACGTTTAGAAATACTGAAGAATAACAAACAAATGATACAAACAAAAAAGAACAAGAATATTGATCATGAAATAAAACAAAAAACTAAACGTTTGAAGAAAAATTGATACACACAAAAAAAAAAAAACTTTTTTTCAATAATAATCAATATTTTAACAAAAAATATATATTTTTGAGAATAATCTATATGCAATATTTTAGATAGATCAATGTTATTTCGAATTATTCAAAATTGTTTCACTTTCACTATTCGTCGATCAAGTAATTTTGTTCGTATATTTGAAGTTGGTCCTCGTGATGGTTTACAAAATGAAAAAATTCAAGTACCAACATCAATTAAAATTGAATTTATAAATCGTTTAAGTCAAACTGGTCTTAAATATATTGAAGTAACTAGTTTTGTTTCACCTAAATGGATACCACAAATGAGTGATCATGTTGAAGTACTTGCTGGTATTGATCGAATACCTGATATTTGTTATTCAGCTCTAACACCTAATGTTCAAGGTATAAATAAAGTTGTTTCATTGGGAAAAAAAGGTGTTGATGAAGTTGCAATATTTTCGGCTGCATCAGAAACATTTTCAAAGAAAAATATTAATTGTTCAATTGAAACATCATTACAACGTTTTAATGATGTTGTTAAAATTGCACATGAAAAGAATTTATCAGTACGTGGTTCAATATCATGTACTGTTGGTTGTCCTTATGAAGGTAAAATTAAACCATCACAAGTTGTACCTCTCGTTGAAAAACTATTAGATATGGGTTGTGTAAGTTTTCAATCGATTATAGAAAAAAATAATCGTGTCTTGTCATTCAACATTGCACAATCTACTTTCTTGTAGTATGAAGTTGCACTTGCTGATACTATCGGTGTTGGTACACCGAAATCTATTTATGAATTAGTTAAAGAAATACAATCAAATGATATTCCATCAAATAAATTAGCTATTCATTGTCATGATACATATGGAC